CGGGGGGGGGGGACATGTCCCCCCCGCCCCTGTACCCTCCTTAGCAGTTGCCTATGATGTAAACCTCTGTGCACTTCCCCTCTGTCTGCTGATCTGATCAGCCAATTGACAATGAGTAAAGTTTTTCTAGTTGTAGTCACTGTGCAATATCTTTAAGCTGGCTAAGTACTGCCTGCAGCCAACCAGGTACAAAGCCAAACTGTGAAGGGCTAGGGCCCAGCTAACCAAGCTACATGGACCAATATGTAGGTATGTTTACAGGGAAAAACTAGTAGATACTAACAGGCTGTTTGTCAGAGAAAGGCATAACAAGAACTAGTAGGAAATTCAAAATAGAAATTAGACACCTATTTTTAATAGTCAAGGTTGTAAAGTAGACTATAACAGGTCTTAAGCTGCTTAATAGCAATTTAGTATATAGCATTTTCTTGCATTCTTTTGAACAGAGTCTGGGTAAGAGAAAAAGAAGAAAAGGAAATGACCAGGCCAGAGGATGTCACAATGTGTAAACAGTTGTAGAAAATTCAAGAAATATGGATTGGAAAAAACTAGGCTTATGGCTGCCTAAAATACATGTAGTGGTTTGATGCTATATAAGGCTAATTCTAGGCGAGATATAGCTTAGATATGGAATAAAAATAGGTTTATGAATATTAATTAGGATAACATCTATTAGAAACAGTTTTATATGTTTTACCTTATTCAGCAAGCTTTTTGATGTAGAGCCTGGCAATAAAGTATAAAAATCATGGAATCTTTGCTCTTCAGCCTTGAGTTAGGATTTTTGTTAAATAGCCCATCTGCAAATAAACCAAGATGAGAGCTCTTTTAAAACTTAATTTGAAACATATATGAGAAGTCATTTTCCCTAACAGGCTAGCCATCTGGTAGAGACTTTTTAAGTCTTTAGGTCTTAGAGAAATTAATTTTAATTTCTCTCAAATATTAATAAGATTGTTATTTATTTAAATGAATGCATGTTTTACAAATTTTAATCATTTGCTTGATATGGCTAAAATGTGCTGTTTGTTCATTTATATCTTACATGTATTTCATTATTAAATTTGATATTCAAATGTACCTGCCTTTATGTTTGTATTTAATTTTGGTGAGACTGACTCTTCAAACCTTTCTTGGTTCTCTGAATATATCCAAGGGACAACAAGATAATCAATCACTGGCATATACTACTGTGGGAAATCTCTTGATGTCTCCAGATAAAGGACAAGATGCCTTTCTGGAACATATGTTTAGGTCAAATGCAAATATTTAGTCTCATGGTACGTAGGTAAAACTTAGTGCAGTGTGAAAATGAGATGGTGCAATGGTCACTTATGGCTATGTCGCACTGCTGCAAATGAAGGAAAATGTTCTCCTCTTGATCCAGGCTTTTAAAGCCCTGGCAGACTTTAAGACCTGTGTAGGAGAGCAAGGTTTTTCTCTTGGGTCACCCTAAGCTAAAACTCAGTTAAATTTCAAAGTAACTTGTGGCAGATAAGCAGGAATATCAATCTGGGTCCCAAAGAAACTGGAAGCTGAGGTCCTGGAGGGAAGTTCTAGAAGTAAAGCTGGAGAAAGGTTTCTCAGCTTCTGCTAATACTAAGTTATCAGTACAGCTAGACTAGTAAAAGGGTGTGTTGGACATTGGGTAAATATCACTACTCAAGTAAAATCTTTATATGAAACATGAAAAGAATATTATGGATTTGTTTGTGGTGATGTCTGTCATATTAATTCTTCTGTATTAATTATTAATCCCGTCAGTGTTTAGTCGATGTTTGGGACCATGTTGGTGTAATTCAATTCTGCAGTTCCAGACAAGTGATTTTTGAGTAGAAACTGTAAAAAATCTATTAAAAGAAAAGTTGAGGCAAGTTGTCAAAGGCACAGATACTTATAAAGCTCTGCAGTTCATTTTATATGAATTATTTCTGCAAAGTGGATCAAACAAATGTTTGAAGTTCACATTCACAAATGATTAGCCAGCGCAGAAAAAGTTGATTCATTTTTTTAAAAATGATCATATGTTCATAGCTCAAGATTGGTTTTAAGGATGCCTTTTGGAGCATGTCAGTGTTCTGGGGTAACTGCAAATGAAAGTGAAGGCTTTTTTTGGCTTGTAAAATGCAAACATGACCATTTTTGGTGCCACGCATTTGCAAATCAGATGCAGTTGTCAAGAGGTATCCTACAAAGGAAAAAACACACTTGAAACTTGATGTTTCTTACTAATGATAAAGTAATTGTTGTACAAAACTTGAAATTACCTTCATCTTTGGAGATCTTGCCGTTAACAAAGTTATTAAGATGCTTTTGAGTTTTGGTGATATGTTCACACATGCTTATTATAAAATATATTATCAAAATATATTGAATACATTGTATTTACAGACTTATTGTTGGAAAAGAAAATTTGACCATTTTGAATGTGACTGATAAGGATGATGGAACCTATACCTGTGTTGCTAATACTACTCTGGACAGCGTTTCTGCAAGTGCTGTGCTCACTATTGTTGGTAAGATTGTATTTAAAATTCATAAGGACAAAACTAAGTTTATTTTGTAGAAAATATAAAACAAAATCCAAGGTCCTTTGTCCTTCATTCTCTTTGGCTGTGTAACTCATTTTTAAGGTAGTAAACACCAATTCAGTCTTACCTAAAATGTTTACCTTTCTGGGATAATAAGCTATGGACCAACTCTATAGCAAAAAAGCTTCAGATAATCAGTAGCATCTTCATTAGGATGAAGTCAATCTTGTGTGAATGGGATTTTACTTGGATCAGAGCTGTCTAACTTTGAAGTAGCTGAGGGCCATACATTCCTTGGGCAACACCAATGGGAGCTATGGACCCCAGGGACCACATGCCCCCCATCCCCCTACTGAACCGAGCATTTGAGTGCCTGCCCCCCACTGCTGTACCTCATGCCCCAGCCCCTTCTCTGTGATCCCAGGTGCTACCTCACTGCTGCTTCTGGTGCATCCCCATTGCACCATGCACTACCCTTCTGTTCCTCCTAGCATCCCTCCCACCCTTGCTGCACTGTATGCAACCCTGCTGCTCTCTGTACCCCTTCTCCCACTGCTGCTCCCCATGCCCTCTTGCTGTACCGCATTCTTAGGTACCCTGACTCACCCTTTGCTTCCCAGCCATGAGATCTCTGCTGTACCACAGCACTCGGGCATCCTGGATTGTGGGGTCCCCTGGCTGGATGGCTGGGACAAGGATTGTAGACTGCATGCAGTCCAATGGCCACCCGTTGGACAAACGTACTTAGATCATACTTGAGCTAGCAAATATTGTTCATGATTCTTAGTGAAAGAATCTAGTAAGTGTCTCAGGCCAACATGTGCTGGTGCTCCAAAATGCTGCAGTAGTCTCAAAACCTGTTGAATAATGATGTACGCAAACTCCATGTAAATACTTGTAGAGATGGTTCATAGGAAAAAGCATTTTGTCTAGGCACTGTAAGATCATTTTACTTTATTTTCTTAATTTTAATATATGTATATTCAGAATGGAGGGTTTATCATTTTAGCCAACAAATTAATCGGTGCATGCTTTAAAATTAAACTCTTCCACTAGATGCAGTAACTTTATTTCTAACAAACATAATCTTTGACTACAAGTAATTCCTATTGCTTTGGCTACTAACTAATTAAATCCTTTATATTAATGTTCTTTTCAGCTCCTTCCCCAACTCCAGCTATCATTTACGGTAAACTAATACAATGTTTCTTTTTGCATCACTGAGCACATTTCATACTTTTGCCTGTTGCAAACTACAATTGCTTTTTTGTTTGTTTCATGTCATTTTACTATTTTTTAATTTAAGCAGAAAGGAGCTCTGTGCATTTATCTCATTATGTACTTACTAGATATTGAAACTGTTTCATTACTAGGATCAAACAATATACAAAAAACAAACTTTTTAAGCAAACTATTTTAATGTCAGTCATGTAAGTCGATCACAAAATAATGCAGGTTTATCACACCAAGTAAAGTAATGGAGAGTATTTCTGTAGTACATGAAATACAAAACAAAGATTTAAACAGTAGAATTCAGCAGTTCCTTCAGTCTAGTGCAACCAGATTACACTCCTGATTTCATGTCATTTAAGTTATTGGATGTTCTATCATTCATCTCACTAGGAGAGTCATTAAGACCCATGTGGTCTAGCTTCCACTAAGCAGAAGCATGGAAAAAGTGAAGTAAAGGCTGAAAATCTGATTGTAACAGTTTACGTGACCCTTTGTACACATCTGCTTTCTATTCTTCAGTAGACAGGGTGCCTAAAAACTGCTAAGGACTTGATTTTGTGTTGAGTTTTTTCTTGCTAAAAATTAAATAAGACGGTATCGCCCCACTTGTTTTCCATTGAGTAATATTGCATTTAAATGTTATGCCATGACAGTTTCTATGTTTTAATCCTGTGAAATGTGTGAGATAAGGTCTTAAATTTCCTGTCATGTTTTCACAATGGATCTGTTATGAAAATGGTGGCATAATGATTTAAGCTATGGATACACGAATTCAAGACCTATGTGAACCTATATTAAAGGCTGTTCCCTGGTAGATGCAGTTGTAAATGGTCATTCAGGCTGGGAACTCCAAGGCAACCAAACACAATGCAGAACATATCACTCCTTTATGTGTCGTTGGTTAAACTGATATACTTTAACCACACTAACCCAATGGACTGTTCGGCTTGCATTAACCATTCTGGACCTGATGCTTTGAATATTTAAAAATATGAGTAACTTGAATGTAAATGCAATGTCCTTGGATAAGCCCCATTGATTCTGTGGGGCTATTCTTATGCATTTTTAGACTGAACAGGCCTCCATTAGTCTTTAATTCCAGAGTATTAATTATCTGATAAGTGATTTTTCACCACTTTGTAATGAACAGCTACATAATTACATGTGCTGAGAATTGTATCTTAGCAACTCATTTGATATTTTTAAATTCTTGAAATACGTAGGGATAATTTAAAATTCTAAATTTTTTTCTTACCTAGAGAGTATCTGCTTTAAAGTTGTATTTGAAATGTTTTGAAGTAATTCTGAAACAGTTTCTCTTTAATGTCTGTGCCACTTTATTTTCCATTTGTTAGCATTAATTTGATTGCATATGCAGTAGTTTGCTACTCATTCATTATACTACTTATATCCATTAACAGAGTATGCTGATGAACATGTAGATGATCCATGCATTTCATATTTCTTTGCCTGTCATTACAGTAGCTTTTATATCATATAGCAGTTAGTCATAGAATTCCTATTTAAACTGCTTACTTGTTTTGTAAATATTAAGAAAAGTTCCAAGCAACTTCATTTTATATCCATTTTGTTACAGCTGTATGTTCATAGCCACTAAACCATGTTTATACAATTGCAGTAGATCAGTATTGAGCTTTTGGAGAACTTTTGGTTGGAATGTGAGAGTGACTGTCAAAAAGAAAACCCTGTTTGGTTTGTTTTCTTTAGTTACTGTGTGTTTGTTTGGTTTGCAGCACATCCAAACCCACCCTTTGATTTAGAATTGACAGGTCATCTAGAAAGAAGCATACAGCTTTCATGGATACCAGGAGATGACAACAACAGTCCCATTACAAGTATGTTTGTCCACTGATTCCTTCTAACTGAATTAAGTATTTTCATTTTTCTAATTCCAATAAATTTTGAACTATACCTTATTGTAGTGTAGTTATATGTAAACTTCTCAGATTCATTTAGCCATTACTTATTTATGAATTTATAAATTATTGAATTTGGGGGAATTTGTAGTTTCGGTATAGCATACACTTTTTAGATGTGCCTAAAGAATAGAACAATGAATGCCTTATAAGTGTAGTAATAATGAATAATAATAAACATAAAACATAATAGTTTTATTCTTCTCATCCATTAGACTACTTTGTGATCTGTCGAAATTTGTCAGTGTTTTTTAGAATGTAAAACCAGAACGTATTATGTAGTCTGACCTGGATATCTCAGGCCCTTAAATTTCACCTACTTACCATTGCAGAGTAACTTGTATTTTTATGCAGATTCATTGGCCACCCTTGTCATGTGGTACCTAGACACTCCTGGTAGATCATGGGTGGGCAAAATGGCAGATCCAGCCAGCAGCAAGACTCCATTTCCCAGCAGCCCCTGCCCATGCTGCTCCCAGTCGGTCTTCATGGAGACCCCAGGAGTGCTGGGCCATGAGGCCATAGAGGCGTAGAACTGGGGCTCTCCCCCAGTCCAGCCCAGCTATGTCATGGCCCCATGCTGCTGGGGTCTCCATGGAGATCGGCCAGGAGGAGCATGGGCAGGGCACATGGCTTCAGGGGGAGCCACTCTGGAGCCGGGACTGGAATCTTTTGGCAATGATGGCACAGGGTCTGGGCCAGGGTAGAGCCTCGATCCACTCCCTGTATGTCCCTGCCCATGGAACCCATGTTCGTGGCAAGCAAGTGGGCAGCAGATGGCAGCTCTGCCCTGTCCCTGCACTGTCACTGCCCCAGGATTACAGGGTTTTCCCATCCCCACCCCGCTGTCTCACTTTCAGCTGCTGCCCCATCCCAGTCACCTGGCTGTGCGCCCTGCCCATGCGGGTCCCACCCCCTGTGGTGGATGCCAGGTGGATGGGTCAGGGTACTCATGCACCAGGCCTGGGTCCAGCAGTGGCAGCCAGAAGGAGCTGCTGCCACAGGGACTGCTGGGAAATGGAGTCCACTGCAGGCCCAGTACAACCCATGGGCCTGTCTTTGCCCACCCCTGCTCTAGACCATTCCTGCAGGTCCCTGCATTTAATAAATGGCCTGTGATAGAGCAGAAAAAGACAGTGGTGAAGTGGTGGGCTACATCATTTAGTGCTCAACTTCAGGCAAGAATGTTTTCTTTGCCATAGGCTCTGTAGGAGCAGACCAGAACAAATATATTTAAGTTATCTATTGAACTTACCTCAGAACATCCTGCTTCATAATGGATTAAAGAGTTTCTTGAACTGAGGGTTAGCCAACTTACTTTAAAAAAAAACAACCTAGACTTCAGCTAACTCCTCTAAATGTGTTATATGTAAAAATAGTGGCAGAGCAGGAGGAAAGAAACTTACTGTCACTGCCAACTGGCGTTCACTAAGTTCACTTACTGAACCGACCAACTCCCTTGAATTATCATAAAGTCACCTGTAATTCGCTATTGTGTTCTCTGAGACAGTGCCATGGCAAGGAAGTTTGGTGCCTGGGGCAAAGTACACAGTAGCAGCCTGCCCTCACCCCATGCACAGATCCCGGGGGCTCATGGCTCCATCTCACGGCCTGCCTTGGCTGGGCAGAGCCTGTTGGCGCCCCTTCACTTCAGTGCCCAGGGTGGTCGCCCCACTTGCCCCCTCTTACTATGGCACTGATTTGAGAAATACCTTTATAAATCATTATGACAATATAGAAGAGCACAGAAACTTATGCTAATTATCTCCTAATAAGATGAAGCTTTCTCAATTGGCTACCAGCAGTCTTTGAAGTTCTCTTCCCTCAGCCAAACTCAGAGCCCAAGTCAGAGCCTGATATGAAATGCTGTTGTTTACTTTAGAATTTATTTTTTCCTCCTGATTTTCTGTTGTTTTATTCTGACAAAGTGACTTAATCTCCAGTATTACTGGAAGCAGCAGCTATGGTTTTTATTGCTATTCACTGTGGACATATTAATGTAATTTATATATTTATTAAGTCAGTAAACCAGCAGCTAATACCTGTTTTAACAGGAATCATGAGTAGTACAGTAGAGATTCCCCTCGCTTTGTGCGGGTTCTGTATGTGCAAATTTGCTCTTATGCATTGACCCCTTTTATACCAAAAATTCATTATATGCAAGGTAAATTCACTCATGCATTTGGTGTGGTGGAAGCCTGCAGTCAGCTGCTTTGTGCAGTGCATTGTGGGAGTGACACACACCAAAATACAGTCTCCTGTGTGGATCTGTGCTCCTCACTCATTGTCTGCAACATGTTTCTGTAGTTGCCATCACCATCATGGTAACATTCACGCCACCCTGTGCTTGTGTGTACTGTCTGCTGTTGATGAGTACCAAAATTGTCTTGTAAAAGTGGTAGAAATGGGTCTGGGGGTTAGTACAGTTGAGGTCTTGGGACATATCCCTATTTGTTACATTGTAAAGTGGGTTTCCTTTATGCAAATTTTGGGTTATGTGCCATTTTCCAGGTACACACGTACAGCATAAAGCGAGGGAAATCTGTAAATACACATGGAAAAATAAGCTAGAACAGGGAGTATCAACTTCTCCCCACCTCATGGGTTTCATAAGTAGCACAGAGCTAGCTGGTCCAGAGGCCACATCTGGAGCACAGAACTGTGTCATCTAGCTCACAGGGCTGCCCAATGGGGCAGAAATTTTGCAGCGAGGTGAGGATCATCAGTATTAATTGCTGTGATTTGTCCTGCCACCAAATTTCCAGCCCATAGGGAGTCCCACAGACCAGATGGCATAGCTCCATGCTCCAAATCCAGCCTGTGGGGTTGCTTGTGGGACTTGGAAATTTGGTGGCTGGATGAGCAGCGGGTGGCTGCCACAGCCATAGGAACTGCAGCAACTAACACTGCTGCCATTTGCCCCATTGCTAAACTTCTGTCTCTGTGAGCCACATGACACAGCTCTATGAGCCATACCCATCCCACAGATTGGGTCTTTGAGACTCCCTGAGTTAGACTATGAAATGTTGTTCTTCATGATCTGATACTGTAATGGTCCAGGGTAAAGGTTAAAAGGTCCAGGTGAGAAAACTTGTATAAAAGCTTTGTGATTATAATATATTGATTATATTTGTATGTAATTTTAAAGTATATTTTACAACATTTATTTTTATATAATTGGTCGGAGTTATAAAACCAGTTAAAATAATTTTAAATTTAATATTTAAAGCAGCAGTTTTGGTCACCTTTTTGTTAAAATTACTGTTTCTTTGCATATACTTCCAATTCTGTGCACTAAAATTGGATTTAGTAATGTAAGGCATGAGTTATGCCATATTATGGGAAAGAGGTAAAACTGCTTCATTACAGATAAGTATCATCCCATTATTGTTTCATAGCAGATCTTTTCTAGAGGCTGGTGTTCCTATATAACTCTGGTTTTGGAAATCAAACTCTAGTTTACACTGTTTTTAATTATGTTACGGCTTTAATTATTGTGCAGTGCCTTGAGAGAATAGGAGGCATAAATAAAACTGTTATTGCTGTTCTTAGAAAAGCGTACTTTTGTATAGACTGTGGTAGAGGATAGCACTTAATAACTAGCTCTTTAAAGAGAATGCAGTTTGCAAGTCAGAGTTTCTCTAGCTCAGTAAAAAAAAAAAATGCTTTTTGGAAATTGCTGTTTCAGAGTTACAGGCAACAGACCAGTTTCTAGGGAAACTGAAACACTGAGACAAACATAGAGGAATCTTGCCAATTTTCAGCATAGTACAGTGGTGCTCCAAGTTCTGGCCCTGGCCCATCAATGGCATGGGAGGCAGTGCATGGCTAGATCGGGCCCTGCATTCCAGGATCTGGCTCTGTGCTGGAAGAGGGCCCCATACCACCGCCGCCTGGCCCTATGCTGCAGGATTGGGGCCCTGAGCCTCCTCTGCCTGGCCTTACACTCTGAAATCGGGTGCCAGGGCCCATGCTGCCTCAGCCCAGCTCTACACACTGGGATTTGAGCTGGGGCTCTGCACTGCCTCCACCCAGCCCCACACACTGGGATTGGGTCTTGCACTGCCCTGTGTGCCTGATCAAACATGCAGGGCCATGGCCCGCAGCATTCCCCATTTACTTGTGAGGAGCCCATGGGCTGGATGACACTATGCTGGGGGTTGGATCTGACTTGCAGGCTGGGTGTTGAGCACTTTTGGCCTAACCATATTCTGATTGTTTCAGTAAACAACATATTTAAGAAAGCCCCACACCTTTCCACTCCCAACCATAAATTAGCCAGCA